GGCCGCGGCGCTGCCCCCCGCCGCCAGCCTCGCTCCCCCTGCGCGGGGCCGCGCCCTGCGGTCTGGCGAGCTGGGTCGGCTGCTGCGCCTCGAGCGCGGGGCGCCGGGCTGCCCTCCCGGGGCAGCGCGGTCGGCCGGCGGGCCCGCCGCCGCCAGTCTCGCCTCCCTCTGCGCGAGGCCGCACCCCGCGGTCCGCTGAGCTGCGTCGGAGGCGGCGTCTCGCGCGCAGGGCGCCGGGCTGGCCCCCAGGGTCAGCGCGGGCGGCCGCTGGTCGCGCCGCCTCGTCGGTCGCCGTCGCCGGGGCGCGGCGCTGCTCCCCGTCCGAGTCTTCGCTGTGGAAGACTCTGCAGCGCCTCATCGGCCGCCCCGTCGCGCCGGCGACAGCGGCCCCCCCGCCGCCGCGCCTGTCGCCCAGCCGCGGCGGCGCCCGCGCGTCTTGGGACGACATGGCTACGGACAATGACATGCCAAGCGCCCCGTCGGGAGGCCGCGCCGCCGAGGGCTCGCGTCGCTTCAGAACCGCGCGCGCTGCCTTGTGCAGCTGCTAAAATGCACTCTGCTCGGGGCTCTCTAGTGCTCTTGGCCACGCGCCGCTCCTGCTCTCGCATCTTCCTGTTCGCGGGCGCCCACGCCGCGAAATCGAACACGTTTAAATATAGAGATCTTTTCGGTGCGCAGAGAGCCTCGACGCGCGCCTTCCGTTTGGCTGCCTCGCCAGGGTTGCTTTTGAACCCCGTGGGGTCGTTGTCCTCTAGAACGGCGCACCTGCGCCGACGCGGATTGGCCGCCCGCAGAGCGGCTGACAAGAGGTCCCCCGTGCACCTCCGCAGCCGCCGCGCCATTCCACCGGCTACCGCAATCGCGCCGCAACGTCAGCCGGTCGTCGGTCGTTTCCCACACCAGCGATGATTTTCACGGCCATGCATCCAGGGTTGAGGCGCAAGCTCATGGGCTGCACCACGTAGCCTTCTGCAAGCCCTTCGCACGGGCGACGGTAAGCCCCGCGGACTTCTCTCATAGCGGCGAACTCTCTTGCACGGGCAGTGGCGCATGCTGGGAATGTCTTGCAATCGATGTGCATGTGAATCGACTTCAACCAAAAACTCGGCGGATTATCTTTGAACTTCGTGGCAAACGTCATGCGTTCTCTACGGTCTGCCTTCGTCTGCAAGGGTTTCTCACGGAGCCCCCTGAACTTGATCCCCTTTTCCACCAAGGATTTGCGTAGCGTCCGCTCGAAGCACTTTACGCGGGCGCGCTTCATGATCATGGCCAACGTAATCTCGCGCCGGGCTCCACCTTTCTTCGCCATGCCCCTGAACGCAGACACCGCGCGGTTAATTTGTTTTTTGTATCGAGGGTGGAAGGGCGACTACGTTGAGGCGAGCGCGCACTATTGTGCGAAATGGCCACAAACTCGGTAGACTGTGGACATGGTTTTGTCAACTGCCGTCGAAATGTCGGTAACACACAATTTCAGGACACTCCGCGTCCGTTTCATCATCTGCACCTCGCGTAGGCCGTGATGTTTTCGGCACGACGTGTTCTACTAAAGGTGGCATGCGGTCGAC